GCAAAAACCATGATAAAGACTCAATTCATCATTGAATCGTTGTTTAATTTTTTTTTGGACTATTTAATTTTATTATATGCAGATCACAACTTCAAAAGAGACGACAAATGCCCAAAACCCTACAAACGTATATAATACGTATATAACGATCCAGATTTTTGCCAATACCTTCTCTGAGGAAATTTGACAAATTGTGTACTATACAAGGTTTTCAAAACATATACATCGTATGTTTACCTTTGAAAGAAGTTGCTTGTTTTGTTACGTATAATGTATGGAAAACGATTTTTTTGTGTTTTTGTTTGACTTTTTTCGCATTGTGTTAAATTTTTCAATTAATGTTTTAAGAAAACGGGGGTGCCGTGATATAGAGTATTTTTTTAATAATAAACATCAGCTATAAAATACGATAATATTTTCAATGTTTAGTAAACAGATAACAACTTTTTGACACATAAAACATTTATATGAATAAAAGAAAATGTAAGGTATGCATCAATAAAACAGCAACCCAACAACACATAACTGAACGGTATGAAATTCGCTGTTTTTACTGTATTAGATTGTCAGCAAGGGGTGGTGTTTTAAATATGACCGCATTATAGTGAAGTGTATTAGCAAAGAAACTTAGAATTTTAGCGCGGGACTTTCTCTAAAACTGGCCTGCGTTAAATAGGCGAGTTACAGTGTTGCACAATGCCGTCAATCCGAGTAGATGAACATTTTATATCACAGAATGGTATCGGCAACAGACGAAGAATAAGATAAAATATTAAAACTGCTAAAGTCTGTTTTAGTCGAAGTCAGAATTACACTGACATAACCATTCCGTAACGGGAAAAACAAGACGTAAGTCGAAGTTGACGTCAGTATGGTACCAGATGTAACGGAACTGTGGAGAGACAATCCACTTAGTTGACCATGCAGAGAGGAAGACAACTCAATTAATCGCCTAATGAAAAAGCAGTGAGAGGATATGACAAATTCGTCTATACTGCAGTGTAAGAGGAAGAATCAAATGTTACCACTGGTGAAGGAGAAGTTAAAGTGATTACACTCAGACAGAATATTACAGAACATAGACAATTGCATATCAAAAACGGCTCTATTTAGAGTCACAAAACCATTTCAAAAAGAGTATGAATATTGTTGATATGAAAACATATAATCACGAAAGAAGGAGATTTTTCCCCCTCTTCTTTAAGTTTTCGCTTATCATTTTCTCCAGAAAATTAGTAAGACCTACGAAGAGCGTGCAAGTAATTTGCGCTAATTTGCCAACATTGATAGTTTGTGTGTAATTCGTGAATTTTTCGCTTGACACATAGAAGACACAGAACCATTTAATCGGGCCCGGTCACAAAGAACATACAAGAAAGTAGTACATATTTTCAACAAAATAGTTCCTACGCATAGCTGTTACTTTGTCAAAAAGTAAAAACAAATGGGTAATGTTGGTATCAAATGAAAGCTCCACGCCTTGGGATCACTGTAGAACCCTTGATGAAAGTTTGTCATGAATAATAAAATGAATATAAAAATATGATAGGGCATATTTTCCCTGTTGCTCAGATCAGAAGTACCTGTTTTTATACTACCCATCTTTTGGTAACCAGTGCGCTCTGATATGTAACTAAAGATATATTGAATTTTTCAGCAGTCGTTCGGATAAGGTATAGTTTTGCTATGAAATGACTGCCACTTTATTTGAAACATTTGCCACTGTGACATAAAGCAGAAAACAAACAAATGGGCATCCGTGTACTATGGACACATTATTGTTTTAATTATTAATTATCATATTTCTTTTAAACAGCTGCAGTTTATTTTTGTGTTCCTTCAGTCTTGAAGATGTTTTGTCATTCATTGCAATTTTTGAATTAATAAAAATTAGTAGAAAATGACTAACGCATAGAGATCATAATTGAACAAGTGTTACTTTATTTATTAAAAACTTTAAAAAGTAGGAAAAAGTAAATGTTCTGTAGTATGTTGTTTAATCTTAATACATTTGTTGTTTTTTTATTATGTTGTCGTTGTCTTTTTCTTGTTTGATAATATTTTCGTTAAACTGTGATTTCTAATATTCAGACTTCCTCCTTTAGACAAAAGTTATAAAATGTTTGTTTTTTTATAAAGGCTCAATACTCATTATAATAACATATTAAGCAGTTATCTACATGGCATCTACCACATTCAAAAAAGCACGCAATACAATGCATAATTAATCTTTATTCATTTAATTCAGAAAGCGCAGAAATTTACAAGTGTGTCAATCAACCAACTAGACATTTCGAAGAAATCACATCAAAACAACTTCAATGGTTAAAACAAATGGAAATAGTGAAAGGAATAATGGAGTACCTCAAAATGAAAATACAACGGTTCGTGTCAGCTATACTGAGCCTTTGGAACTGCATCGTAACATCGTTCATATGGGCGAAGTTTACAAGCAGGACATCATAAATGCTCAAACGGAGGAAACAGAAGCTTGAAATATTTGTATATATTAAAAAGATGAAAGTAATTGTATTTGTTTCTATTATTAGTAGTATTGTTTTTGCTAAATTCAACAACTCAAATAAACATATATTACTTTTATTTATATTTCGCCTTAAAAATAATCGACCTTGTTTTAATTTTTCTTAAACACCGTAAAATAGCCAATAGTGTAAAATTTCCTGTGTTTCTGAGACAACAGTCATCAACTAGATAAATACGGGAGTAACAGTTATGAAAGAAAAGTACATAAACATTTGTGGCTATACAACCAAAATCTGTCAACTTAACCTGATTGAATTACAGCCTTACTTTTAAAATAAACACTAGTTTATAACATTCAGTTGCAAAATGTATTAATTTGTTAAATTATTCAAATACCAAGATTACTTGGGCAACTAGTTGGGTGTTGTGAAAGACAAAAGACTCCAACTTATATTTATGTTTCGTTGATCATCTCGTAAGGGAAATAACTTCTAAAATCCTCATCATGCTACAAAATTTAAAAATTGAGTTTACATTTGAACCTGTACTGTCCATTTCTATGTATAAATTATATTATAAAAAATATGAAATTCTCAATAACGATTCATCTTGTCAGAGTAAATGAGAGGCGAAAGATATAAAAGGGGCATTTAAAACTTATAAGTCAAAAATAAACTGATAACGCTATGGCAAAAAAAAAACAAAAAAAAACAAAAGACAAACAACAGTACATAAAACATAACATAAAAAACTAAAGACTGAGCAACAGGAACCCCACCAAAAACCGGGGTGATCTCAGGTTCTCCGAAAGGGTAAGCATATCCTGCTCCACATGGGGAACCCGTCGTGTTTCTTAAGTAAATAAAATTAGTAAATACAAACCCGGTGATAAGTCTAATTCGGTAGGTCACATTCTCGGAAAATAACTTTACCAATGAATACATATTTCCTTTATGGACTGGTCTATATCGGTGAAACACTACAAAGACAACATGAGAGAATGCATTATCACCGACGTAATGTTAATTATCCCAAGCTGCAATTAATTTCTCTATAAACATTTCAACCACCTTGACATTCCATTTTTTTCTATTGAAGTCAATGTTATCGAGACAATTCATCATTCAACAAAAGAAATATCATTATTCAACAAATTACCTCTCTTGAGTACATATAACTACGTACAAAAAGAAAATGTATTTAAGAGTTATGGACAACAATTACTTATGAATGCACATATGAATTGCAATTGTGTGTTGATTGTGTTTTGTCAACTTGAAGGCGAAATTGTTTCAACTTTTGTACGCCTCAATATGATTCTCTGAATCTCTAATTTACACCAACTGCGGTCGATGACTTGTCTTTTATTATTAAACTGTTTGACATACCAAAATCTAAGCTCAAATAGATATTTGAAATTGCCAAAAATACTTACTTTATGAAAACTAACTCTACAAAGTTCAGATTTGTTGACAAAGTTACCGATAGTACTAATCACAGGCTTTTTGACCCTATCCATCACCCAAAGCAAAATATTTAAAATATTGTAATTATCATATCTTTTACCAATAGGTCAATTAAGTCAAAGCAAAATGAATTGAAGACAATTTTTTATACAAGTTTGTTTTAATACTAATGTATAATAAACACCCGGAAGTGAGAATATCACTTTTTAAATATTTCCTTGTGGAATCATACTTCCACAAATAATTCCAATATTCGTGTTAAAATTCAATAGAACAATAGGTCAACTTATAGTATTTCTGTTGTTGTACTTCTCGAAAATTTAAACAATGCCGAAGTCCGTGAAATCGACACTGTTAGATCCATCAAATTTATTTAATCCTACCTAAACAAAATCAATAAAACATATGCCGATTTTCCACTCACGAGCCTTCTTCGATTTTGACCATTCAGATATATATAATTAATTTTGTGAGAGAACAATTTCTAGAAATCTTTCTGAGTTATATGAGGACCTGGGTGCAGTTTACAGAATAGTGAGGGGAAAAGGGGTTTGACATTATAATTTCTTGAGTTGAAACATCAACAACTTACGTGTTTACATTTTCCCCTATGTGTATTATTACAATTACAAAGACTATGCTTTGAAAAAACAGGTTTTTTGATAATTTGAATAAGAGCCTTCCAGACTTACAGTATCCGATACGTATTACATTAGCTAAATAGATAAATGGCCATATGCTATGGAAAACGGAACACCTGCTGTAAATATTTTTTTTTCAAAACAAGTCATCCTTATTAATTCGTTCGAAATATGCCTATGATGAAAATATAAGAGTTCCTTGACATTAATTTTGTTAATACGAATACAAATTTATTTTTAGCAGCATTACGCAAGAAATATTAATTGAAATAAAATAATTAAATAAATTCACTTAATTGAATATGTTGCCATGGTTTCATATGAATTTGTTTCCTTGTCAGATACGCATATATATATGTATATATATATATATAAAAGTCTCATATATATATATGAGAAAGAATATAATGTGTACATTTGTATAACTTTATATAGCAACTGTGAAAATTGCATTTCACAATAACAAATAATGCGTTCTGCTTTACATTTAACTTACTTGATCGTTTTTGCTTGTGCAAAAGAATATCTTAATCAAACTGAAGGTAAGCATTAAGCTGAACTTGATTTTCATATTGTTTATTTGCATTTTACAAAACATATTTATAACAAACTTATATCAGCTATCAGCCTACAATGCGTTTCCTATCAAGATTTTCTTGATAGATGGTCACTGCTTAAAAGGAGGCTTTAGCATCAGTGGTTGCAAATGGTATATGTTCACAGATGACTACGCCTTTGCTGTTCTTGTAACCAAAATGTTTTTCTCTGACTGTTAATGATGTCTTTACACTAAATTCATTGGATGTTGGATGTGTACTGATTGATATTTTAGTCTTAGATACATGATTTTTTTTATCAGTTGTTATTGTCAGTAATTGCTAGTACTCTCAGATCTGTACTTAGTGTCCTTTTTGTTGTTAGGGATGAGGGATGGATAAATATCCTGCCACGTCCGGTCGATGTTTATGTTTGATTTTTTTTCTGCTTTGTATCGATCTGATGAGTTAAGCCTTTTTCAACTGATTTTTATAGTTTGTTCTTATTTTGTGCTGTTACATCACTGTCCCAGGTTAGGGGGAAGGTTGAGCGCTCACAAACATGTTTAACCCCGCCACATTCTTTGTGTGCCTGTCCCAAGGCAAGAACATTTAGTTCAGTGGTTGTCGTTGGTTCATGTCTGTCATATTTGTTTTTCGTTAATTGTTTTGTTATAAATTAGGCCGTTAGTTTTCTCAATTGAATTGTTTCATATTTTTCATGTCGGGCCTTTTATAGCCGACTATACGGTATTGGTTTTTCTCATTGTTGAAAACAGTACGGTTGCTTATAATTTCTTACATCCACTTTATTTGAACTTTGGTGGATAGTTGCCTCATTGGCAATCATACCTTATCTCCTTATTTTTACAACGTCTTCAATTTTGACATTATAGAATGTGAACACAGTTGGAATTTAACCGGCATGAACAGCACGATGGGTGCCACTATGAAGTAGGAACTGTACTCCTTTCCGGAGGATCCTTTGTTTAAGTTTTCAGTATTGTATCTTGTCATATATTATTTTAAAATGTCTGTGTTGTTTTACCAGTAACAATTTTGTTTGTAATTTTCCCTGAACAACCACCTTCGGTCATATTTAGGGTTACAGAATTTTTTGTATAGATGCTTTATGAATTACTGATGTCTTAATGGTAGTGTTATTATTTTTTGATGCACAGTCTTTTGATGTAACTAAAAAACGTTTTTTATTATGAGTAACATGATGGGTGTCACTAGCTGAGCAGGAACTGTTGACCCTTCAGAAGCAACCTCGGTTTTCAGAGGGATCTTGTTTCTCAATCTTTAATTTTCTATGTAATGTTTTGTTATATCATTACATGTATTCATTTGACTTTTCCAGATGCGCATTTTGACAATTAATATCTCTTCAGTTTAGCTCGAAGGCTATGTATTTGAACTAATACAAAAGTATAGCAAAATTCGAACAATGAAACAGAGCTGTGAATGCGTGATATACATTCCTTAATTTGAAATTATATTCTAAGATTCATAGCAGCAAAGGAGGAGGTATGATAAGAACCTTATTTGGCCCCTGAAATTGCAGAAATGATGAACTTATTTATTAATAAACCTTTCAAAATTATGTGAACTGCACCTGTCCTAAGTCAGGAATCTGATGTTCAGTAGTTGTCGTTTGTTGATGTGGTTCATAAGTGTTTCTCGTTTCTCGTTTTTTATATAGATTAGACCGTTGGTTTTCCCGTTTGAATGGTTTTACACTATTAATTTTTGGGGCCTTTTATAGCTTACTGTTCGAAGTGAGCCAAGGCTCCGTGTTGAAGACCGTACTGTGACCTATAATGGTTTACTTTTATAAATTTTGACTTGGATGGAGAGTTGTCTCATTGGCACTCATGCCACATCTTCTTATATCAGTTTAATATAATCTGGACTTTTTACTGCTGAAATGTCACTTGCGATGTCATTATGATTTTTTACTAAAATTGGACATTTCATGAATAGTTTGAATTGTGAAATATATCGAAATATGTATCAGCAAAGGCTTTATTCAAACAGACTTTTCTGTGCCATAAAACAAAAACCGTATTTTCATTCCATTACAGATTATGATACGATGTCTCCTTGAAAGCAAAACGTCCGTCCACCGGTCTATTAACGGTACAAATTTCACTGCAATAAATGGATTTAATGTATGACTAAAAAGTATAACCAAACCAAATAAGGGATCAGAGCTATTATTGCTTTTTGTCTTTTTTGTTAATTTTTCTTTTTAGCAATGATTGTGTTGTCAGTTTTTTATAGGATTTATGATTTTTGGTGGTTGCCACATTGATATATTCTCGCTCTTTTGAAAAAATGACAGTATATCTCAATGAATGTCCGACATTAAAACTGCAAAACTACGCTCATAATTTGAATAAAAAGAACATTTATTTTAATGAATAGTCTAAACGTCATTTATAATAAAATAGATCAGTTTAAAACATTTGTCTCATTATATTTGAATAGGCCCTGTCGCATAGTATGTTCATTTGTTTTCCATATCTATAGCATGTACTTCCTGCAAATACAAAAGGGAAAAAGGAAGGAAATTAATAATGAATAGAGGGAAAAATTAAATTTGTTTAAAAACATATTAAAACATGTTGATAAACCTCCCCATTTCATTTCAAGTGTTTATACTAATGTAAACCTGACATAATTACGTCTTTCATATGAATAAACCATAAAATAGGGTAACTTTTAGTGAGAAAGCAACCCAACACAGAAGTTAATCTACTTAATCCATAGAAATCACAATATGACATATTGTTCAATACAAACGCTAATGGTATGTAAGTTTTAAATAAATTCAACAGAGACATCTAAGATATTTAATACAACGCCATAGTTTTAATAAACAAAAAGCATGATGAATAGTGAATAAAAACTAAAAATATACTTTAGTTCGGACGAGAACACAAACATATAACAGATAAATTTCATTTGACAGTGCGTAAAACTCCTTCTGTTTGTCTACATTAGCAAAAAAATATATAAATATTAATCAAAAACCTTTAGTTCTGAGAACAACAGAAAATCTTTCCACCGATAAATTCACACTTGTTGTTAATTTTATTAGAAAGCAACTTGAATAAAGATATGGATATTTTTTTTTTTATAAAATAGTGGTGCAAATAGTAATTGTGGTCTCTTAAGCCATAAGTAGAAAACTCTTCTTACACTAAAAATATATGAACTATTAAATTTTTTATGAAATAATGGCCATAATCAGTAATTTCAGGTTTAATAAATGATAAAATATATTACACTGATTCTAAAAAATATGGTTTCCATATATTTTACCAAATTAGGGAGAAAATTTGATAACTTACATTACAATAATTCAAAAATCATTTCGTTTCTTCTACTGGTTAACACCATGTCAGTTTCGGTTGATATTTTTTAATGTCATGTGTCTCTTAACCTAATACAAAAAAAAAACAAAAAACACCGTAGCCTAATCATATACCAGTATGAAGCTAGTATGAAGCTATAGCAAATTAACTATAAGTTTATGTATCAAAAGCGCAATAACTCCCATACATGTCATCGGATTGATTTAAAATCTCTGCCAAAAAATCTTAAACATTTTGTTTTTGTTTAGCTATCTATTAGTTCCAATTGAATATCAATAACAAGCAAAGGTCAAACTCTAGAATGTTCAATTATCCTTGGCCTTGACCACAGTGCCAATGTCAAAATTCAATGTTCTCATATTAAAAGACCACAAACTTTCTAATGTGCATGGTTTAGAAGAGGATCCTACTAAACAACTTTTTTAATATCAAAGGGGAGAAAACGTCTTTAAATAGTCACCAGAGAACTTGGATCAAAATGTATTGGCTTCGTAACTTACAATATGACAAAAACATATGTCAGTAACTATACTGTTTCTGAGGAGTTGCAATGACATTAAAGCAGATCATAATTGAGAATATAAACATGACCGTTGACCTTTGACATTGACTTTAATGTCCTGCCTATGGACCAAAGACTTGTTATCAAAAGACTCTAGGTCTCTATGACTTACGATCTACAAGTAACACCGATAATATATTTTTTCGAATACAGAAATATGGAAAGACATAATAACGCACACAAAAATTCGACCAGAAAAAAAACGTAAGTGAGTTAAACGTTCTTTATTTCTCGCTTTTGGTCTTTTTGTAATATATCTCTTTTGTTGTTTACAATTTATAATATCTTTGACTAATCATTAGCTTTCTAGTTTATTTCTCCTTCACACATCTTTCTTTGTGTACTGTGCGTTGTTTGATAATAATATGATGTTTTTTTCGTAAATTCCAGTTAGTTGGGAAGCAGCTAAAAGAAGTTGTTCAGTTCCACAGCTCAGAATGGTATTTAAAAGCAATGATTATGAAGAAGATAATGGATTTTATGCTTGGACTTCAGCACAACAGTTGTTTTCAGACTGGGCTTTCTTTTACGGTCATTATAAGTTAAACTTTAACAAGATTTAAAACACAAATCGACGAATATTTAAAATCAACATAAAGGAATCGGTGTCATTTATAAATTGTTATTATTCATGTATATTTTAACGATTTATGTCACCATTTGTTCAAAATGATACTGAACGAAAATGAGTCAATTTTAGTGGCCGTTTTCAAATATGTTAGAACCTGCAAATACTTAATTATTTACTCCAATTAAAAGAACCAAAAATTCAGTCACGATATCAAATTAACGTTTGCTATATTTTGTATATTTAAGACGTTTTAGTGATTAATCGATAAGTTTTGCACGACCAAAAACCTTTTTTGTTTTTACAAAAAAATCAAAATAAGGACTTCTTAAAGTTTTTGATCAACGTTTTATACATCTAAATGAAAGTGCTACTGACAGGTTGTTAACTTCTATATTTGAAATGGAAGACAGGTTAGTTGTGTTTTCACAGTGATGTTAAATTTGAATATTGTCCAAAACGAGTCAAACAAGCGCGTGCGCAGAAAAGCCTTTAATGTGCACGTGTATACATTTAAGCAGAATAATCATGATAATGCAATAAATACGTAACACGTGCCGGTATTCCATCAGAGTATATCGATATGTAGGCAAAATAGATTGTGCTGTTTCATTTTACATTTGAATATATTTACAGGCTGTATTGACATTCACATACCAAAAGAAGACGAACATCGATTGTCCACATACTTTTCAAATAGCGAAGGAATTTTTATTTCAGCTAAAAATGATATATTTAAATGTGCGATTTATTGTACAAACATGAATTATTTTGTTTACTATGTAAGTATGTATGGTGTCAAATCAAACTTATTGTTCTTATTTTAAACTTTTTAACTACTGGTAAATCTAGCTGTCTGTTTTCGCAATCTTCGATCTTTAAATACCAAAATAGTCGTGCGATCTTTATATTTATCCTGCAATCAGCCAACTATTGTACAAATAATAGGTACACAAATAAATATTTGTTTCTTTTGTACTTGTACAAATAAAGTCTCCTGTTATTCCGCTTCCATATTGAGCAAACAAAAATGTGAACATTCCTTTTTGGTGGCAGTTCATTTCGCGGTCCGCTTTTAAACTTTTAAATTACAGGATAAAACAATATATGTACATTGTCGGAATATATAAATATTTATTTGTACTCGCTACGAAACAGGAGAAAAGCTCGGCGAGGTTCGCTTTTCGTTGAGTTTCTAAAGCTCGTACATAAAATTTATTCATTATTTTCCGACAATGTACATGTATTGTATATTTACCGATTGTGACATTTTGACTAAGTGTATATTCGCATGGCTGGTAATGCATACATAGTAGGAGACGCTTGTCTTGTTGTTGCACCCGGTATCGCTCCTATTTGAGGTGATGCAATTCCTTCCGTTTTAATTTTTATCTTTATTTGTATCTTTTCAATCGATTTATGGAATTTGATTATCGATCTACCATAAATGTGGATACATACATTGTACCTGTAAACTTATCACAAACAAAAGATATACATAACTTGGTATTATAGCTGTAAATTAATGGTTTAAGATTAAATTGAATAATGATAAATTGAAGTAGTAAATCAAGGTCTAGATAATTGCAGTCTTTCACTAAATGAAAAATAATATTGATCCAATCAATTAAAACAACATAAGAATAGGGTCGTCGCGTCGACAGGATACCCATATTCTTCTGAATATGCAGTAACCATAAACATGTAAAACATTTCTCTTTTGGAAACTCCAGGCGGACATTTTAAAACTTATATTCAATACGTCCTTGATAATAATACGACTGAAGATAACAATTTTGGCGAGTGTTAATTTGTATGTTAAGACATCGATCAAAAATTATAGTTCTTTTTTTTAGATAACGACCTGTTTATGTATTACAAGCATTGGAATGTATCCAGTTACTGATACCACTGTCTGTATATCGCCGTGTCGCACGGACTCGGTTTTCTGTTCATCAGGATTTGGAGTTCCGTTGTTTAAATATAAGCCAGGTAGATATTCATACATATCATTCACTTCGTACTCAAAAATGAAATATCATACTAAATATGAAAATTTACCTTAAGTTTAGAACCTTTTAGTTAAGTAAAACAACTTCCGATCATCGTTTATTTGCCCATTTGTGCATAATAAATTTCATTTTTTACCACACAAAAAATTTTTTTTTTTCTTCTGACAGTCATTTATGATTTTTGAAAATGTGTTCCAGTATGAAAATTGTAACGTAGATAAATATATCTCTCAAAGTTTATTTGTTGTACCGATATCTAACATGCTCTTAGTCACTTGTCAACTAATCAAGTACGTAAAAGTCGTTAAATTGAAATAAAACCCTTGTAATAAACCAATGTAAAAAGTGTCTATTTTATTCAATTTCCATGTTAAGAGGTAAAAGTTTCAAGACGAAGCATGTTTTATTACTCATACCATTGTGTTGCTACAAAAAATGGCTACAACTACGATGATAACTGCTACACTGAATTTCGTGGCTTCAACTGTGATGGAATAGGTAAGTTTCTATAAATCATTTTTTATTCATCTCTACGATTATGAAACCAAAGGACGAGCTCCATCTAATAAATAGTTTCTAAACAATACGGCTAAACATGTTTTTAAATATAAAAATTTAAACTGCTATTTGGTCTTATATGTAGTTAGATATTTTTAATATATATATTCTTGTATATAACTTTATATGTCTTGCCCTTTTTAATTATATATTTCTCATTCGTTAATGCAGATTTTGATTCAATCATGGCGGTATATGGTCATATCATAATGATAGTCTTACTTAAGATACATCACTTTTAAAAAGTATATTTGACCGGTATTGCGATGTTGTGTGTATACATTGTAAAGAGAAGGGTTAAAAGAGTAAGATTAAAAAACGGATTTTGTTATTATCAAATATAAAGTTGGAAATGGTAATGATTTCCAAGACAACTATCCTGTGAATTATTTAACCGAAAGGAAAATTGACTAAATATGCTAACCTTATAATTCCTGTTTACTGAAGAACCAGCTTTGCAAAGGTTAATAACATGCCATGAGTGCCGAACAGTTTTAGAACAACTTGACAAAATTACATACATGTATGTAGGGAGTTTCAGTGTATACAGGAATACATGGGATCTGTGAAAAAAAATGTGTATTCGGTCTTTCTTCCTAACAACATGGATTATTTAAGAATGTTCGCTCCTCTGTTTCAAAATAACATACTTTTTAAAAGAACGTTTTAAATTAATATCATATAAATAACTGTTCATAAAAAGCAGAAAAAAATGGTAGGTCCGTGTCCTTGTTTTTGAGATATAATCAGTTGAAAATTTGGTGGGAAGTGATTCTCTCTAGATTTTTCCTACATTTATGATTGACACCTATTTTCTTTCAATAACTATTAAAAAAAATAACAAGGATTTTATAAGATTTTCAAAAATGGCTTTTTAAACTATATGTATTAAAATTATGAAAAAGTAGGGGTTAGCAGCCACGTTGTTTTATTGGTACTACATGGATAAAACAAGAGGATTCCGAATATCGGACAAAAAGTCAAAAAAAGGAGTAGCGAACATCCGTAAGACTCGCTTGTTTTATATGCATTGTTTAAACGTTTTCACGGAGAGCACGTGCAACCATATATGTTGCATTTTATTTGAAAATTAATTGGGCCAAGTTGTAGCGGGTTAGTAATTTTTACATCTGCCGTGCAGCCACTTCCTGTTTTCCGATAGTTTGAAACTTAACAACACTTATTGTACAAGGAATATTTTTGTCAAAAGTTTTCTTGACTTCAATGAAAAGAAATGATCACTTTTGCTTCAATACTAGTATACATGTTACCTCAATCAATTAAATGCAGCAACGCAGGTTCAGACTCGGCATTGGTCTTGTTTGTCAAAGCATATGGTCACATCAGCTATATAATTGTTTCTGGAATTTACAGAATGTCATCATTATTATTATTTTTTTATAATAATACTTATAATCATAAAACACATCTGATCTAACCAAATAAACTAGAGATCAAGGTAATTAAGAACCAAAAGAAACTGATTCAAATGATATCTTGACCCACTCTAACGAATGTGCACTTAAAGTTTGCAAAAAGGTTATGTCAGCCCTATGACTTATATTAAAGTTGGAGATCGCGTTTCAAGAATTATCATTAGAACAAAAAGGTGCTTTTTTCATAAGTGCAGTATTATTGCTTTACAAGAAGTTGTTATTCATATTAATGTGTAAGACGTTAAACACACTAAAACGGCCGTTTTCATATTAGATTTATGTTTTCTTTGCAGAAAATATTGGTCTGCATACAAATTGGATTAATGCTGTCAATAACTGTACAAATTGGAAAACAACGCTGCCAAATGCAGTCAGAAACTCATCAGCCGGTCACTGGCTACGATATTTCAGATATCAAATATTACATCCAGCTACAAGTAAGCATTAACAGTATAAAATGTATGTACCCTATTTTTAAACGATTTTTCCTCCCTTAATTGTGATATAAAATCATGCTTACAATCAGTATTAATTTGTGTATCAATTCATTTCTTTCACTGGATCGATTGTGACTACTGTGGTATAATAGCTCTTAACTACACTGACATCCTTGTCATTCCTACTTTTGGGGATTTGAACGTTCCTGATGAAGGTGAATCCCAAAAACACTTCGGACTCACAAAGTTTATAGATTGTTCATTTCATTTACATGTAAATTTTATATAATTTTTACGATTTAATTGTGCTAATGTTTCATGAACTTAGTTTATATACCACGTATTTAACGTGATAAGTTCTATATCATTTTTTTATACATTGAATAGACAAATATGCATTCTTAGTCAGGAATCTGATGTTCAGTAGTTGTCGTTTGTTGATGTGGTTCATAAGTGTTTCTCGTTTCTCGTTTTTTATATAGATTAGACCGTTGGTTTTCCCGTTTGAATGGTTTTACACTAGTAATTTTTTGGGGCCCTTTATAGCTTACTGTTCGGTGTGAGCCAAGGCTCCGTGTTGAAGACCGTACTGTGACCTATAATGGTTTACTTTTATAAATTTTGACTTGGATGGAGAGTTGTCTCATTGGCACTAATACCACATCTTCTTATATCTATTCGTTTATGACGGCATGAGTATTTTACTGGTTTACATAGCGTTTGACAAAATATTGAATTATCAGAATTGAACATGCCTACAAGTTATGTATGAATAAATATGAGCAATAATTATAACTAATAGAACATTAATTACAAAAAATATGTAAATGTTTCATCACTATTTCAGATAAGGAAAGACGGAAATGTATTGCAGTTTTCGTAAAGAATAACCAGGAGTTTAACAGTGACTATATACAATGGAGCCATTACCAAGAAAAGAATTGTTCAGAATTGCTCCCATTTATTTGTTTCGGTTGTATGATTATACGCTTTTATTTTTTTGTTTAAAGGTGTATACTTTAGATTTCAACAATAAAAGTATAAAACAAAATTATAGAAGAAGAATTTGATTTATGTTTTTGGTTATTGTTTAATAAAATTAAAATGCCATCTACTTGCAATTAGAACAGAGTAAATGAAACTGGCGTGTTTTTCATTCAAACAATTGCGCTAGAATGCAACTTTTTCAACTATTCTCAAATCAAATTTCATGATTAAACGTCCTTTACAACTTCTTAACACAACATTCACTGTTGTGAAGCCAGAGTCAAATAAGAGGATTTATTTCTCATGTGAATTTTATTTACCCGGAAATCAATGTATTTCATTTCAACCAATAAAATATTTACAATAATAATCTGGATTCAATATATTTTTGTCAGGTCACAAAACTGCAGCAGTTGCTTTAGTTCCAAACTCAACGGTAAAAGAAAATTCAACCTCACAGTTTTCATCAGGATTTAAAGAAACTAACAAAAATGGTAATTGTTTTAAAATATTGTTTGTAAACAAAGTAAATATTATTATGATTGTCCTATCTGACACACATTTTAGTTCAATATATACATATGAAGCACATTTATTTCAAACAAGTTCCTACATTTTCGGAATTTGGAGTCCAATATGTACAATTTAGCGTAATAAACATAAAATCTGTCTTCTTTCCATTACAATTAGGATGTTTTAAAGATGGAAACGCATGTTTTCATTTTTCCATAATAGACATGTGAACTACATAAATGTCTAAACAAACAATTTTCAATGTAGGGTTTTCACCATGTGTGTCTTTCACCATGTGTGTCTGTTTGTTTTGTTCACGCATCGTTGTCAATATAATGGAATTTGATGCGACTGTCATACAAGTGAGAGGTTTAGCTAGCTATAAAACCAGGTTTAATCCACCATTTTCTACATAAGAAAATGCCTGTACCAAGTCAGGAATATGACAGTTGTTATCCATTCGTTCGATGTGTTTGAGCTTTTGATTTTGCCATTTGATTAAGGACTTTTCTTTTTGAATTTTCCTCGGAGTTCAGTATTCTTGCGATTTTACTTTTCACATGTACGTATGAAAACGAAACCAAACGTATGTAAATTGATATTAAAAAGGATATGAATAAACTTTTACTACAATATAAAACAAGAAGATGTGGTATGATTGCCAAAGAGTCAACTCTCCACAGAGACCAAATAACATAGACGTTAGCAACTATATGTCACCGTACGGCTCTCAATGATAAGCTATTCCCATACCGCATTACAAGCTATAAGAGGCACCGAAATGACAAATTTTAAACAATTCAAATGCGAAAACTGACGGCCTTTTTTTGTACAAAGCAAGTATGATTTACAGCGAGAAACAGCAACCACTGAATAACAGGCTCCTGGCTTGGGATGACGCATACATAATGTGGCGGGGTTAAACATGTTTACGGGCGACCAACTCTCCCCATAACCTGGGACAATGGTGTAACAAGACAACATAAAAACAAACTCTTCAGATCGATACAAAGCATAAAAACAAAAAACAAAAACACTAAAGACACAAAGTAGAGATCTGAGAGTACTTACAGTTACTGAAAGCTAATTCAACAACTAATTTAAAATATCATATATCTAGTAAGACAAAAATATAAATGAGTACACATTCACCATCCAATGCATTTAGTGTAAAGACGTCGTTAATAGTCATAAAAACACATGATATTGTGTAACACTAAAATATTGGTATCCACAGATTGTAGGACCATCAATGTTTATAGGTGTATAGCAATAATGTTTTGAGCCTTGATTTATTGATTACAAAATCGAACTTTATACCGATAAAAACAATATTCAAAGATATAATTACAGTATTACATTGGTAACCTTTTAGAATGAGTTTATCTAAAGGATCAATTTCGTATCTTAATTTACGGACTCGATAAACAACATCATCGTAAAAACTAGGATGACTTTTGGCCTATCCTGTTTGTCATACGTTTTCTACAGGTATAGCCAAACGTCCAAACCAAATCTTAGTATCTATGCAAGAATTGAGTTAAGGTTTTAAGTAATTTGTTGTAACGAAATCCTTGACTTAACATACAAGTAAGAGTAACATTCAAAGATTTGATTATCCCTAGTCATTTTTTGGTTAGTGCTATCACTCCGTCATTCCATCTTAGAATACAAATCGTATTTGACATACATTGTACCCTCGTTGATAGACGTTTTCAATGCATTTGCAAAAAAGCATATGATATTATTCTTTTATAAGATAGGTAAAACATAATTAAATTGTTAACATTTTTTGTATCACAAAATCCTTTTATTTACATAACTTATTCTTTTAATTTTAGATGAAATGGTTATAGTCAAAATTATACTACTGACGTCCTCCATAGGGATTGTTTTTCTTACTATAATAAGGTATATTATGTGGTATATTTAATAAACATGATATAAGGGTAGTTATACCATTATTTAAATAGAACTCGTAGACTAAGTCTACGTTGATTTTGTCTGTTTTTCTGAAATAATAATACGAAGTTGATTTCAAATTATTTTACGACTTAGATTTTTTAGTTGTTTTAAATTTAATGTTAATCACTGAAATTTTGCACGGTGTTTTTATTTATTTATTCATTCATTTTTTTGTTTGCCTACTTTGCGATCACATAACATCCGAGAAAATATCTCTTGCGCAAGTAATTTGTAGAAATTAACAATTATTATATGCAGGGTGATCAAATCGTTGATTTGCGAATTTAACGTCAGCGCGAAAGTTCATGTATTGAAATCGCGAAAATGTTCACGTTTACAGTCATTTAAAAAGGTATTTATTATATCTGTTCAAATCAGAAGATTTGTATTTCTCACTGTTTAAGAATCTATGCAATTACATGAATTGTATTTAACCATGTTCACGAAGAAAAAGAAAATATCATAATATTTATATTTATTGTTGTAGATTATGCTATCAGAAGATCAGAAATTATAAATACCGATAAACTCTTGACAGTTAAAAAAATTATCTCCAGTTATAATTATAGGAGATAGCAAGATTCTAGAAAATAGTTGTTGAAAGATGTTTCTTATTTTTATCATAAGGTGATTGTTAAACATTCGCAAAACTTTGTGTGATATGCATAGTGTATCTCTGTATGTTGAATTATTGAAAATGACAACAAGAATGATATTATGTTCCTTAGTTTGATACTAGTCAATATTTTTTTTGAAATAAACGAACACCAGTGTATACAAAAAGCGAATCCAGATAGTTCATTTTCGCTGTCATACGCGAGTATTATTATTGTAAAAATAAAAGATGATAGGGCAAACTGTGTTTGTTTGCGTTTTTAAAATACAAAATAATTGATTTGAATGTATATTTTAACACAATTTGAGAAATTCATCTATTCCATGACTTACATAATGTTACCCTTCACAGAGACGCTTGATCTTTTACGGAAGGTTTATTATCTTAAATTTAAATTTAAAAGACAATATTAACAGATAATTCAGTTTAATTATAAATTATTAACACATAGTTGAGAGGGTAATAGAGCAGATTGTTACTCTTCAAAAAATATATTGTCAATCTTGGCATGGACTCGGTATACAATGTTTTCCCGGGGTAACAATCTGTTCTATCATCCTCTATGCTATGTTATATTTATAAACCATCCCTGGCTTATATATTATAACCCTTCACGGAGACGCTTAACCATTGGTGCGCTTTATTAAATACGGATTTATTTTTGCTTACATCTTGAAGAGAAATAATAATGGAGTTAATTAAAAGACAATGCTTATGTTTATCGTTGCGGTCAGAGGCCTTTTTCAAAGACTCAAAATAAAAAAAAATCAACGCCATAATTTGTCACTTTCAATTAAACATGTAAAGGACAATAATAAAGCAGCAGTCAGTATGATAAATCAAATAACACCAAGCTAAGATGTTGATAAAGTAGATTGTACATGTAACTGAAAAGTGGTTCTAAAGTGATAAGAAATAATTGCAACAGAAAGAAGGATTTTTTTTATTTAAAGGTTTGATGGTAAGTACTAATAATTAAAAAAATAGTAATATTTATTTGTTGCTTGAACTTCAAATGCAGATTTGGTTTCAGCTAATACCGTAATATAATGTAGCTTATTACTTAATACATATTCAAATATACCTTTCAAATGATTTATAGGTTTTGCATTAACTGAATTTTGGGTTGCCTGGTGGTTAATACATTAGGCAATGTTTAAGTATATCGTGTTCCTAGATATTAGTTATACTTGGTAAAAGAAGCATGTGAAATAAGTAATAGTTATTGAACAAGCAAATCGGTACATGTTATTTAATCTGCACGGCTCGGGTGACCTACTTGAACCCAACGACGCAGAATTCCGGTCAAAGGTCATCCCGACCGTGCAGATTAAATGATATATACCGATTTGATTTGTCAATAACTGTTTTAACACATGACGCCATCAATTTACATGAACGTTTTGGAAATATGTGGACGATATTCTGTAATCCACGGCTCCTAGGAAGTTATCTTGTATAGGGTAAAGGAAGGGGAAATACGCCTATATGTATTAAAAGGTCATATACATGATCTTACATCCCTCTTTGATTAATCTTCCTCTGAGCAAATTCTTGAGGGAAAGATAAACAATTAATCTATACTCAATAACCCTTTCACTTATGGTTTGTCATACACCGAATTAAAAGTACATCAAATGGAACTAAAACTGTAGGAAATGTGGGTTATACGACAATAAGACAGCAATCAAACGACAAAAAAAATCTAAGCACAACTAGAGGGCAACATTTTTATAGTGTTCAACAATAAACAGATGTCTTAACGATTTGTAAAGTTCTAAATCGTTTATGTCGTTTCAAAAGCTCACTGAGAGCTGATGTTGTACTGTTATTTAACTTGCCGACTTAAAACTTATTTGAATTGATTTGATCGTTACAAATTTATATAAAAAATGTGAATACATTTAACAGAAACAATCAAAGATCTGCCCTCTAAATACTGTAACAATTTAGGAGAAAGCCTGAATATCAAAAAAGTTATAATTTAAAAGTGACCAACCTTTTACTACTCAAATGCGTATTTTCCCGTATTTTCTTGACCCTACAAGGACACTTTCCAAGGAGCCGTGGATTGAATATAGTCAAATTCAAATATACCTTTCAAATGATTGATAGGTTTTGCAAAAACTGAATTTTGGGTTGCCTGGTGGTTAATACATTTGGCAATGTTTAAGTATATCGTGTTCCTAGATATTAGTTATACTTGGTAAAAGAAGCATGTGAAATAAGTTATAGTTATTGAACAAGCAAATTGGTACATGTTATTTAATCTGCACGGCTCGGGTGACCTACTTGAACCCAACGACGTAGGAGTTCCGGTCAAAGGTCATCCCGACCGTGCAGATTAAATGATATATACCGATTTGATTTGTCAATAACTGTTTTAACACATGACGCCATCAATTTACATGAACGTTTTGGAAATATGTGGACGATATTCCGTAATCCACGGCTCCTAGGAAGTTATCTTGTATAGGGTAAAGAAAGGGGAAATACGCCTATATGTAGTAAAAGGTTGGTTACTTTTAGATTATTGTCTTTTTTATATTCAGGATTCTTCCTAAATTTTTCCATTATTAGCGGAATTGCGATTTAATGGCAGATTTTTTTTAACGTTTCTGTTAAATTTATTAACAATATGTATATAAATTCGTAACGATTTAGAACTTGACATATTGTACAGACACCTATCTATCGTCGAAAACTATATGCTGCCCTCTAGACATCCTTGGGTTGTTTTTGTCGTTTGATTGCTGTCTTATTGACGTATAACCTACTTCTCCTACAGTTTTAGTTCAGGTTGATGAACTTTAAAATTGGTTTATGACAAATCATACCTAAAAGGGTTATTGAGTATTGTATCAATTTATTTTCTTTTCCTCAAGAATATGTTAAGAGGAAGATGAACCGAGGATATAAATGAACCTATTTTCAATCTTCAATCAAAAATTTGTATATTTTAGGATTAAACATTTTTCCAATCAGAGAGGGGGCGTACGCCTTCGTCGCCTCCGCCCCTCTTGAATCCGCCACTGACATGGCAATAACGGCATAGTTGATCAATTAACAACTTTGTTTAGACTTTGTCGTTTCAAATTATGAAATAGAAAGTGCTTCTCATTCCTTAGAACACTTAATGCTATTTTGTGTACAATTTAAATCTTAAATCAATAAATAATTTCTCATTTTTGAAAATATCCAAATAGCTGAAACCTGATTTGGATTAGGTTTGTTATATAATGGAATTTATAACGACTTTTTAAATAGTGACTATTTTTTTATCGAATTTAATGAGGTTTATGTTCCAAAACAGAACAAAAAAAATATACTAGTAAGTTGGAGATCAATCAGACTTCGTTAAGATGGGACAAGTCTTCAGAATGAATAAAGATGAAAAATTATGGAAGGGGGTGGGGGGGGGGGGGGGAGTAAAAGATTGAAAAATGAAACGATTTTTGTTTGTTTACTTTGCATTATTAATGTAAATACATCCCTCTTTGATTAATCTTCTCTGAGCAAATTCTTGAGGGAAAGATAAGCAATTAATCTATACTAAATAACCCTTGCACTTATGGTTTGTCATACACCGAATTAAATGTACATCAAATGGAACTAAAACTGTAGGAAATGTGGGTTATACGACAATAAGACAGCAATCAAACGACAAAAAAAATCTAAGCACATCTAGAGGGCAACATTTTTATAGTGTTCAACAATAAACAGATGTCTTAACGATTTGTAAAGTTCTAAATCGTTTATGTCGTTTCAAAAGCTCACTGAGAGCTGATGTTGTACTGTTATTTAACTTGCCGACTTAAAACTTATTTGAATTGATTTGATCGTTACGCATTTATATAAAAAATTTGAATACATTTAACGGAAACAATCAAAGATCTGCCCTCTAAATACTGTAACAATTTAGGAGAAAGCCTGAATATCAAAAAAGTTATAATTTAAAAGTGACCAACCTTTTACTACTCAAATGCGTATTTTCCCGTATTTTCTTGACCCTACAAGGACACTTTCCAAGGAGCCGTTGATTGAAGGTAGTCCGACCTTTTCCAAAACGTTCATGTAAACTGACGGCGTCATGTGTTAAAACAGTTATTGACCAATCAAATCGGTATATATCATTTAATCTGCACGGTCGGGATGACCCATTAACCCGAGCTCCTACATCGTTCGGGTCAAGTAGGGTCACCCGAGCCGTGAAGATTGAATGACATATACCGACTTGCTTGATCAATAACTATAACTTATATGCACATTTTGACATTGGTTGTCTCTTGAGTGATACTCGAGGCCTAAATGAATAAAAGATTATTATCAAAATATCTCATCTGAATAGGGTGAAAAAAGAGAACATATAGAATTTCACCAAATCTGGTTTATCTCAGAGATTTAAATGAAATTAACTCAAATGCAAAGTTTTATGAATATTTCATGAAGATTGAGAAAATCCTGGGCCTTAACTATGATGACTCAGCATAAATTCACAGTTTACAGTATGCATATTTTACTTAAAGGCCTCAATTCAAAATAAGTTCTTAATGTATGCATATTTGTAATTTGAATTGTTTAGAAGTGCTTATATTTACTCTTCGCAGTCGTTAAAACTCATAGATCCTTCCTGAATATTGTATTTGGGGTGTTTTTGTTCTGTCAATAACCCAAAAAGTAAGCCGAAACACCTGAATGTGCCTTTTTGTGACCGCGGCATAAAAAAATACAAGCTAGAAATACAAAAATACCTCAATAAAACTAACAATAGTATGTTCTATCCTGAATATGTATTGACTATTCCATATTCACAGAAAAAGCAGAATTTTTAGCAAATATCAGGCCCAGTGGCAAAAAAAAACAGAAAAATGCCTCCCCCCCTGTGTCACAAAACAGATTATTTAACCTGTAAATGCTATGATTTTATTATTTTAAATGTCTTTTGTATAGAAAACAATAACTGTGCTTTGAAATTATGCAAAAACAGATGTCAGCAGTCAGTTCTGTAAAACTTTTAGTGAAGTCATACATAAGACTGGTAACTTCATACATACAACTTTTGAAAATATGTCTTTGTTTAAACACTTCTTGTTCATATATTAGCTAAATTATGTTAGATATGTGGTTAGAGATGACAACATTTCTACAATGACCATTTGAGGTAGAAACTGTTAACTTTAATTGACAAATAGGCAGTAAGTTGTGGACTGAGACAAAGGCAGGATTGGATACTTTATATAATCTTG